AAAACTGAGTCTAAAAAAACAGAAAAATGAAGAATTAACTTAGGTTGAATTAAAAAATATATTTTTGTATATGGAATAAAAAAAAGACATTATAAGATGTCGTATTCACTATACGTTTATTTACAACCGATTGATTATTGAAATGACAGTTGTCTCCTATTACTTATTCGAAAACTGAAATTATTTTATGAAAAATTTAATCACATAGTAGTTCCCTCTACTGAAAGTAGGGTCTTACGAAAAGTGAGTTAAATGTGTTCGTTCGTGTGTGTGTGTGTGTCCGTTCGTTCGTCCAATAGGAAAGCAGATGCAAAAACTAAACTAACCTCTAGCAATATCTGTCGGTATAGGTTTGACCGAAGGTAATCGGGGGTCGGGGAACACAATGGCGTTGTCAGTTTTTCGAAATTCTGTAGTTCAAGGAAGGTTATAATGGATAAGGAGCAGTTGAAATCGTCCTATTTGCGTAGTTGGAATTTTTTGTCGGGAAGTATTTTAAGGGGACCATTCGATGGTATTTATAGTGGGAGATGTATCGTATGCTTATATTGGATCTCAATACGAATACGCTATAGGCATCTGGCGGTTGAATTAATTCTCAATTTGGTAACGGCTAGACGTGAGTGGTGCTCCGGAGGGGCGCCGACGAACGACTAGTGACTTCCCTGCACTAACGAGGGAAGGTCCCTGAGTGTGTCTCTTGTATTTTAACCAAAAGTAAATGGGTGTGTCAGGTCAAGTGTTGTTATCTGAAATATGTTTAAATTAGCTGCCCAGATCAAACGAATAAAAAATATAAGTGAATAAAATTTTTAATACCATGAGGGGTACCATGGACGAATGTTTTTAATGCCAAAGAACTCGTGGTACCCCTCAGGGTTTTAAAAATTTTCTTCACTGAAGTTTTGTGAATGATTTGCGCTGGGCAGCTCATTTGTATATATTTGAGATACCAATACTTGACCTGACACATCCATCTACTTTTGGTTAAAATCCCAGAGACACACTCAGGGATCTTCCCTCGTAAGACGTTGAAAGCTTTTTTCAAAATCTTCAGTTTGTTTTTGATGTGTTAACTTTCATTGCAGCACGAAGAATTTATTCAAACTTAACTCCTAGAATTCTAGATTAGCGTATCCACGAACGGACGCAAACTGAATGAGTACTCGGGAATCATGTCTGATTCTTCTCTAAGTTGTGATGAATTTATCGCACACGTAGATGAAACTGGATTAAATTAGTCGTATAACTGTTGCTTTTGGACGTCTTTTAAATTCTCCTTGTTTTTATCTAATAATTGCAGAATGAGGCAAAGGTTTCAATCAATAATGTGGGGTTTAAAAGAATCACGTTCACTGCATATATGAGACAAAACTAGTGGGAGTGACTACACTGTAAAAAAAAAGGGTAGAATAATAAACCCTTGTCCTTTCTACAAATCATGCTAAACCCTTGAAGGGTTTATGACAACGCCATAAACCCTTAAAGGGTTTATTAAACGAAGGGTATATGAAAAAAAGATGATACAAGAACAAAAAGGGTTTATTAATCTGAGATTTAAGGAGAAGGGTATATGATTTTATCTTCAAGGGTATTTTAATATGCGGTTTCAATAAAAGGGTTTATTACTTTCGTACTAAGGGTATTTTATTCTACGGTCTCGAGAAAAGGGTTTATTACTTACTTAAAAAGGGTATTTTATTCTACGGTGAGGGATTTACGGGGATTTATTGTTCTACTCCATCATCAAAAGGGTTTTTTATTCTTCGTTCAAAGGATTACACTTTTTCAACTGATATATATATATATATATATATACCATGAAAATTTCTCACAGGACACTTCAAACAATTTGATATAATAAACATGTTAATACAATCATTTTCTCACAATGCTGCCATTCATGCATCGATGCACTTTTCATTTCGTACCTGTTTCGTAAAACATAACGGTATGATAAAGAGGCGCTAATTTCTCTAATAAATTTTGAATCATTTCGAGCTAAACTTATACTTATAAAGGTTTTTAAAATAGATCAACAATTTTATAAAAGTATTAGAAATATATACGTTATAGATTTCTAAAAAAATAAGAAATATGTTAGAAAATTTTTGAGAAAATGGAGCAAAACGTTTTTAAATCTTTTTAAAAATCTTTTTGAGGAAATATATTTCAAAAACAAATTTTTCCTAATTTATTTAAATATGTAAAAAAATAATTTTTATTTTCAAAGAAATAATTTTTTAAATGCAAAATATTTTTTGCATATTTTTATGGCAATTAAAAATGTAATAACAATTGTTCCGCTTAACTTTATATCATCTTCAGTTTCCTATCAAGTTTCGTTTGATTTAAGTAGCATTTCTTACTTCATATTGATATCATGCGACTGACTGAATGGATAACATCTTGGACTATCAACCAATACATCTCATGATCGAACCTAGGACAACGCAGTAAGTTCCAAAATTTTAATCGGATCGATAAATTACAAAAAATACGTTGTGATGCGCATTGTAAACACAAACGAAAAAGAATCATAGTCTACTCATTTGTTTTTGGATTCTTTTTCTGAAAGATTGTTAACGCGTTTTTTAAGGGGCTTGTCTGAATGGAAATTGTAATAAACCCTTAGAAGCATTTATGAAAGGGTATATGAAAATTAAATACCCTTATAAGGGTTTATGAAAGTGCAACGTAGACTAAACCCTTTTAGGGTTTATGAAAATCAAATACCCTTTCATAAACCCTTCTAAGGGTATATGAAAGGGATTAAGAAACTTTTCACATACGGTAAAAGGGTTTAGTCTACGTTGCACTTTCATAAACCCTTAAAGGGTTTATTATTCTACCCTTTTTTTTTACAGTGTAGCCGCCCTCACTAGTTAAAAACCCTTTGTCATTATAAGACCACAGGCCTTGCAGACTTATAGAATAGTTACACATTGTCTCTATCAGAAAACTTAAACCGATTTTTGAAAGTAGGAGATATCTTGAGCTCGTCCGAAGACCGGTCGCGAAATAATTGCTGAACTCGTGTGAAACACTCGAAACTTATATTTGTCGTTATTATCTTAAGAAGTTTAGGTTTTCCTGATTGCGAGTGGATTTGATTCAAAAGATGTAAATCTTAGGCTTATCTATGTGTGAACGTGCGCTCAAGAATGAATATATCCATTATAGGCGGGAAACGCACCGAAACAAAATGAACCCAGATGAGGTTGAGCAAAAATTAGGACAAATCTGACAGAAATCGAGTTAGAAAAAGACACTTTGATGTAATCTCTGATCTACTCGTGCAGATTCATGTTAAATATCTAGTTGTTGAACAATTTGAGTTGTAACTTTACTAAAATGGGGTATTTTTATCATAGCTCTCCATAATGGGTCTTTTTCTTCACTCAGTTATCAAGCTGATCGAAAGTTTTCGGAGCATAGCTTGAGCTCTAGCAGATCGGATGCATTTTACTTTACTATTGCCATATAGTATTAGTGAGTACTACTTAAGTGCAGTTTTCTTGGTGATACTTCCAAGCATGTTTTCTATTTATGCTCGGTTATCAATCGTGTTTTCGATGAAAATCATTTGAAATCTATAAACTGTGAAGTCTCTGAGCTAGATAGTTTAGGATAGCTGCGTTCTACATGACTAAATCCTTTCAGTAGAGGGTTGGCGACGCTAACGTCGCGTTACCTTGTTATATTTTTCGGCTAATTTACGTTGAGATAAACCATTAGATTCATTACTATCAGTGACTAACTAAAGTTTTTCTTTTAATGTAAGATGGTGTCGATAAGTCATTGTCCTTTTATTGCTTACAATTATGTTAAATAATAAATAGACGATTTATGAAATGAATTAGTCAGCAAATATGGAAATGAAAAAGAAAAAAAAATTACATGTATTCATCTAAGAGAGGCGGTAATAGCGATCGAGACCGTAAAAATGTGTTCAAAATTGGAGTAACGCAGGTGTTCACGTATGGCAGATGCATAAGCAGCAAAACTCGTTCGTTGCGACTCGGATTCTGTTCAAAATCTGATATATTCACCTACGAGAGATGTTCCGTAATATAGGTGTTACTGTGATTGAGATTTCATAAAATATACAATAAACTCATGGAGAATTATCAGAATTAGATGATGATTCTCAAACTACTAAAATTAGGTGTGTGTTTTCAGTGAATTACGATTCCTAATTTGACACCTCAGTTTTAATTGTGAAATTATTGTATTCACCAAGATTGAGGGCAAACAATGAGTTTAAAAGAGAATCATATCGTCCTTTTGTATACTACTCCTCTTTTTGTATACATAATTCCCTTGCAATCTGAAGTATATTTTTCCCTAGAACTAACGTGAATATTTTAGATATTTGTGATAAACAATATATCTATGGACAGGGTTGGTGGTGGTGACTTTTTCGGTTAATATCAAAACTCATTTATCATTCATCATTCTGACCATAAAACAAAGGACATCATTTCAGCTCTTTATAAGAGTCATAGGATGGGCATGCAGTGGAAGAAGGAAAGAGAGAGCGAATTGACCTTCTTAGAACTCGAATCAAGACCTCCTACTATCCTCGCATTTGTCCTAAGCCAAATACACCAGCAGGTGGACGCAAAGAAAATTTCAGTGTCCAAAAGTATCAGTACAGACGCTAAAACTTAACTTACGTTTGTAGTAAAAGCAGTAGATGCAGCTTCAAAGACAACTAAAACTATGGGGATTGCATACATTAATTTCAAGAATAGGAAACGCTACCATACAAAATTCCACAAGTAGGGGGCGTTACATCCCATGGTCTTCATCCTTACGTCCCTGTCTAAAGCTTACTATATTTTGTAATAGCAACATACCGAGATTTTATTGTTTTATTCCGAAGTTTATAAGCATAGCGGTTTTTCTTCATTTCTTAGACTATAAAGCCCCATGGTATACCCTCAACAAAACGTAAACCTCGATTATCTTGGATTCAGAGGCACGATCGTATTTCCATGGTAACATAAATCTTCTGTAACTTTAAAAAAAATGTTGATGTAAAACCTAGATCGATACTCAACCCAATCAACCGAATGGATTAAGTGATATGATAAAGAAGAATGATCGAACAAAGACATATGAGGAAGGAAAGCTTGATGATCAACCGACCATGAATTATTTAGATCTAAGGGAAACTCCATCATCACCAAAGAGATGGAAACCGTGGATTGATTCGAATTTTATCAATATTCTAAAAGACAGCCCGAAAGACGATAGAAAGAAAAGGCAGAGAAAGTAAGTTTTATTCTTTTAGTGTCAGATTGATCTACAATATTTAATTTATGTTGAAGACGACTTGGTGCATTTGTGATGCCGTCACCTTGCTGTTGTATCTCTATTGTCGCAGGTATTATTGGAGTTATTTTACTGGGTGCTCTAATAACTGCTATTATTTTTATGGGTATGTATAATTTTTATATGAGCGTGTGAATGAGGATGTTTCGTTATATAAAAGCTGTAATATTTAGATTTATCTCACCTCGATAGATTTTTTATAATGAATTTAAAGATTGTTAGCAATAATTAGCATTACTAAAAACAATAGTTTGCTATTTAATGACAAGTTCAGTGCATGTGAAATTTATCAAAAAATGACAACCGTTAAAGATGCTAGCAAGCAGAATATTGGTTATACTACTAATGTTTAGCGAAAACTAAAAATGTCATCTGATTAATTCATGGCCTTTCTAGCACTTTTGAATATTCTACGCTGAAAAAAAATAAGGTGCCGTACTGAACATTTTTTTGAAACGAGTTCTAAACTTTTCAACAAGTGTCGTAAAAATCTTTGATAAAACTCGATTAAAATTTTGATTCTCTTTCATAATAATCCGATTGATGATTGCGATTATAATAAAAAACGTTGACTAGAAAAACAATAATTGATCTCTGATATTGGTATGAATAAAACCCAGCTACTTTATGACTCACAAACGTACACAGAGATATGTTTCATAAAAGCTATCCAAAGGTCTGTCAGCTGGACAGATTAGCTGGTACCGTTTAATCAAGCTAAGCTTTTCAGTAGCGCTATGACCTAGGAGAGAAGCTTAGAGGTTTTATCAACACTACTTTCTAAAGAGTTAAATAGGTTTTATCTCACCTATTTTTGTCAGTGTTATCAGTTAACTAGCGATTTTCTATATGATGGTTACACGTCGAAAGATAATTTTGGTTTTATCTGAACTTAATTAATTTTCTCAAGCTCGTAACCAATCATTAATTTGATATCGTCTTGAGAAGCATCTGGTGAGCTTGTTCTTGAGTCAAAGGGCACAGCCACCTATGCAAGTGCACGTCGCACGTCTCTAGTTTCCATTAGTGTCAGATGAATCCGTGACGTTTCTATAAACTCTCTTCGCATACAACACTGTATTCACACTTATCTCTACTATTTTATATTGTTTTACTGTTTCGTAATACTATGCACATTGGCCTAGAAACCTGACTTTGATGTTTTTTAACAGCATTTTCCTTCAAGATGCTTTTCGGTCAGGTTTCTAGTTCAATTTGCATAGTATTGGGAAACAGTAAAGCTATAAAAACTAATAGAGATAAGTGTGAATACAGTGTTTTGTACGAAGAGAGTTTATATAAAAATGTCAGGGATTCATCTCACATGAATTTTCATTAAAAATTACTGTGCAAATAATTTGTTCTCATTTTTAATCAGGTGAAAAGATATTATTTCGACCTGATTTTAATTTAGTTTCTAAAGTTAACGGTGGATTTTGATAGCTTCTTATGACTTTCAACTGATTGTTAAGATTATTCGATTAAGATCTACTTCTAATAGCCAATGGTAACTAAATCCTTTTTCTTCATGGGTGACAGTGAAATTACGAAGGTGAATATAAAGCATTCTCTATACTAGCATAGAAGAAATTTAAATCAATATAGATCATCGAAAAATATGAGAGGTTATGAAATCAAGAAATTATTTTCTCTCCCTTCATCACTGCACATTGCACAAAATTTTTTTTAGTCTTGAGAGCCACCTCCGTTTTTATGTCTCATTTAAGTTGTTTAATATTGAAGCAATTGTTATCTCGGTATGTGCCGACTATTTATATTTATTTATGTTTTATAATGGCTATCATTATTGATATAGATATTAGCATGCCATTCTCTCAGTTCGATTTTACTCAATAAAACATGGTGGAATGAGTTTCCAATGCAAGTATGGAGTATGATCTCTTCTATTGAATGCTAGTCAATGCAATTGATTACTTGCGTAGTTTGCTGATTCCAGTCGTATCGTATGGTATCAGACATCAGCAATCCCATACATAGAGCTCCTATACTCTTATATAATTCGGCAAGTTCCGATATCACTCATATAATAGTGTTATGACTCTAAAGATACTGCTGACTCGTGATATATTCGTCTCGTTCTTATCACCAGAATAACAACGTGATGACATGAATACAAAACGGAACAAAAAATAGAAGCCCCCCTCGCATTGAATCGAGCTATGCATCTCCTGCTTTCCGGGCAGACGTATTAGCCACTGTACTAGAAAGGAGTAATCTTTCTCCATTTCGTTCCGTCTCATGCTTGAAGGGTCACACTGCGAACATAACAAATAGATTCAATTTTATGAATCATCAGAACTTGATAAATCTGATGCGTGGATATCAAAATAAAACATCGGCTTGTATCGGAATTCGGTAAAAGAAGCCGATGGAATCCGAGAAGGCGTGTAACAACGAATTAAAAACCCATCCAATAGGATACGACGTATCCACTTGGACCTAGGATACTCTAAGAGAGTTTAAAAGCGTTTCTTTCCTACTTTTACTAAAATATTTCTAGCTAGATACATCCTTATGAATTATTGAATCATACAGTAAATCAAACAAGTATGTGTGAATACATAGAATAATACTTCACATTTGAAAAAGAAAAATAATTACTCTATTTTTGTTGCCTACTTGGATATAATTTTATTTTTATTTGAACAATTATTTTGATTCAATTGGTGAGAGCATCTAAAGATATTTTCCGGATAAAAATACAAAAGAAATTTAGTAGGAACGGAAATTGCATCCTTTCTTTGTAATGTAAAGTTAGGACGTTTTGATATCTAAATTATACCATAAGGCGCATGAAATAGAAATCATAAATTGACTGCACTGTCTGAATCGACAGTAATCTATTGATGGATTGTAGTCCGAATATGATAAATAAAATGGGGTCTGATCAGATAAATCAGATTTACTAAGCTAGATTAAAAAATAATCATCCGTATTTTCTGAAGGATGATTTTCATCGGGTATCAGTATTAGTTACGAAAAAGTTACATAAAATTCTCTCAAAACTTAAAAACGCCAATATCAGTCACTTGTTGAATCACGTATTATAACACTTTGAATTACTTGTCTTTATAGTAACGCCAGCAAGTTTGATAGTAAAGTCTTCTATATCGACTGCAACAACGAGCGAGACAACAACAGCAACAACAACAACAAGTAGTACAACAACTGATACAGCTAGCACAATTGTAACAAGCACAACAACTGATACAACTACCACAACAAGCACAACGGCTGAAACAGCAACGACAACAGCCATCATTACAACGACTGATACAACTACCACAACTGCAACAAGCACAATGGCTGAAACAGCAACGACAACAACTATCATTACAACGAATGATACAACTACCACAACAGCCACGAAAACAACAACAAGCACTGTAACAACCGCTACGACTAGCCGTACGACGACGACAGCCACAAGTTCATCAAGTATCGATTTTCTTTTTTTTATCCATGAAAAAAAATTCGAGAAAGTATGCATTCCAACGAAAACGTTTTAAAAAACAACGCTATTTTCGTGCTTAAGCGCAAAATTTTAAGAAAAACAGGCATTTTTCCTGTTGATTTATTTTTCAAGGTGTGTTTTCGTTTGAAAATGCATTCGAAAGACGATGGCCTTTCTGTTTTATTTTAAACGATTTGAGAAAACGCATTATGACGCATAATGTAGCATTTAGGATGAGTTTAAACTTCCCTTCAGTAACAAAATTTTCACCTAAAAAATAGTTGCCTTCGGAATATGCGGAGAATTACGAAAAGTTCCTCTTTCCAATTACTACCTGCGAACTCTAAGAGAAACTGAAATGCCTAAATCGTGTAAATTAATTTTGTTAGTGTTTAAAACGGGTAGAATGCCAGTATGTTATTCGACGCAGAGAGGCTAAAGTAGATAAAAATCGGTAAAAGCACATATTTTCAGGTGTTAAGAACGCGTTGATTTATAAACAGTAAAAATGTGTAGATTTCTAATTGTTGAATACGTGCTAGGTTCAAACGCATTAACTATCGCAGAAAAGCTAACAGCGATAAAAGTCGTAGAAATGTGCGTTTTTCCCGATTTATTTTCATTAGAATTTCTACGGGTATTTCACCGTCGTTCTTTGTGTATTTTGTCTGCCTGTGTTTTCTCGCAACGTCTATAGAATTTAAAATAATTTTGTAATTCTAACAAATTCGAAATTCTACATCACCGAAATTCCATACAATCAAAAATACATGCCAATGGTTACATCTAGAGAAAGACTACAATAAAAATCTTTGTCATAAACATGAATCTTTCTTTGATTCCAAATGTGGTTTTATTGTGGTAATATTCATTAAGCTCATTCATTATGATTGATTTTCAACAGAAAATGCGCATTCATGTTATTATATATTGATATAGGTGTTCGGTGTTAACCGTCGAGAATTTTTGACTTGCAGGGCACTTTTCAACTGTAATATTTCATTTGTGTCCATTTATCAAGTTGACCTGTGAGAGTTAAATTCTGATCAGTTCAATAAAAGAAATACATCGCTTGACGTTAGTAATGACTTAGTATCTTTTCCACACTATCCCAATCACAGTTGCTGCAAAAACTTTTCTTTGTAAATAGAACGGAACTGAAAATGTGTGTACGCTGTTTTTCAGTAAAGAAGGGAAAATTATCAGCTAAACATAAAATAAAGTAGGAAAAATATAGAAAGTAGAATGCGTGAAAATATAGCGATAGTAATTTATCATTAATTCTGGATAGATTTCTTTGTGGGGTTCCGTGTTGTACTTTTACTTGACTTTAAAATATATATAGTTTTCTCACTCTCATCTAATCTTTAACAAATATCCTGCATATTTGAAAGAGTGAGGGTGTTTGATCTCGTTATCTCTGTATTTCCGTTGCACCAGTGAATTCAAATGATAGGCATTACATGCTGACAATATAATTTGTATTTTTGTGTAACTAATAATTTACACCGATAGCATCAAATATAATTTCAGTTGTTCCGAAAACTAGAGTAGATTCTGTTCTAGATCGACGAACTTTTACGTAGATTTTAATCAAATTTGTCTCACAAATACAAGTATACGATCACTATCAAAGCAAAAGAACATAACACTGGAATAAAAAGCGCCATATCACTGTAATGAGTAACGAAAAGTTTTGTTGCTACGTTCGATACTTGCATGCCACTCATGCTAATTTCGATCCATTTTGATCTTTTGCTTTGTATCGCTATTGTCGCTTGATGATCATTCACTCGTGTTTGAATCCCTTTAAGATATACACATAAGATTCATAATCAAGTCAACTTCGCAGAATGTCCTTAAAGCGACCTGGATATAATGCTGATCGTAACTTTTATAGATACCTTTAAGTTCTTCACGAATGAATTTCTTGAATACCCAGGTCGGAAAATCTGACGAAAGATCTTGTAGTCCGGATATCAGATCTTACAATCCGAACGAAATCTTACAAGCATCAGACAAAAAATCGTCGTCTCTGAAATCTTGCTTCAAGTCATACTGCATTTTCTTTGTAGATTGTATATGCAATTGTTTTCAATACAAATTAGTAGTGATATTTTAAGGAGGTATTAGTTTAATTAAAATATTACAGTGATATTTCTGTAGGTAATATAAACTTTCAAGAATCTTAGGATACGACTTAGTGTAAGAAATCAGAGACGATGATTTTGTGTACGATTTATCGTCTGATCTTACCAGATCAGATATGATCAGATGTACACTTCTTGTAAGATCTTACCGTTTGGTTTCTCGCCCTGGATAGAGAAAGCCATAGAAAACTCACGTTGAATTATTTTTTATGCCAGTCTAAAAGAAAAATTACATCACTAACTCCAAAGCTCTGAAAGTAACGCTTTAAAGTTAATTAGATGGAATAGAATGTTTGAAAGTTTGATAAATCAGTCAATATTAAGTAAAAAAAACATTCAAAATCTTTCCGTATTTTATTCTAGATTTCTCACCAAGAAATACCCTATAATCCAAAGCTTTATAAATATGTTTCTCAGTATCACCCAAAGGAACTAGATAAATTTTATCAAAATTAATTCATCGAATCTTGAAAACTAAATTGAATCTATAATGCATTGTATCTTGTCTGGTACTGACTTTATAATAGTCTCTTCCTCTATGACTTTATTGTTCCCTTACTACTTTCCACGAAAGCATCATTTTTGCATTGGCAACGAATATCTAGACCAAGAGAATGGAAAATGAAAATATCCAGCATAACCTAAAAATAAAAAATATACAGAGCACGATCAAAGATTTTACTTGCTACGAAAACATTCCGAGAATAGTATGGCTCGTTTGACAAAATGCTCTATAAGCTATAGTTTTGTTTTCTATTATATTCGTTGTATAGGCACTTAACATACACAAACTTAACCATCCATCTTACATTTATTTAGCAACAACATCGAGAACTACTAGTACAACGACAACATCTTTTGATTCTTGTAAGCCATTCGTCCTATACAGTTATATAATCAAATTTTTAACGAAGTACTATCAATATTAATGCTTATTTTAGGCAATGGAATGCAATGGAACAGAACAGGAGTTCGTGTTGCTGGTGACGGGACAGAAGGATCAGGCGCTGCTCAACTTAAAGAGCCTAGATGTGTCTATGTCGATGCTAATGATACAGTATACGTGTGTGACACTGTGAACGGCCGCATTCAAAAATGGCCGAAAGGAGCTACGACTGGTACCACAGTGGCTGGTGGTAGTGAAGGAGCAAGCTCGAATCAACTTAAAATGCCACTCGGACTTACTTTTGATAAGAATGGTATTTTGTATGTTGCTGACACAGAAAACCACCGCATACAGAAATTTTCACCTGGCTCAGCCAGTGGCACTACTCTGGTTGGAAGTTCTCTTAACAAACCCTATGGCGTAGCAGTTGATGGAAATAACAACCTTTATATAACTGATCATGATAATCTAAAAGTGAAGCGATATAATATAAATACATCAACATTGACGGATGTTTTCAGTTCTTCCAATAAACCTTATGGAATCGCATTTCTTTCGAATTCATCGAATCAATTTTATGTCAGTTTTGACAGCTCTCCAGCTTTGGAGCTCTGGACAGTGGGAGTCTCTGGTGCTACTGCAACTCTAGGTAGTAGTAGCACTCATGTGGAGCCTAAGTCAATTGCTGTCGATCGGTATAATAATGTCTACGTAGCGGACAAAGGAAAAACACAAATAACAATGTATTGTGCTAATTCAGGAAGCGTTAAAACAATTGTTGGAGGCTCCTCAAACACTAGCCCAAGCCTTGACGAACCTGCAGGAGTAGCTTTCGACGCGAACATGAACTTATATGTGACTTATAAATCTCTTGCTTCAGTGTACAAGTTTTCACTTATATGAAGCTGGACAAGACGGATACTGCTTGGTTGAATTTTTCCATGAACTTCCAAAAATAAATAAATTTCAGTTTTTGCATGTTTCTTTTTAGTCTAAATAGAAATGCTTTTTTGATTTTGAAATTATGTAATGATTTAATTAAACAAAAATTAGAAGAACAATGAGAAATGAAACCAGTAAAATAGTAACGTTGCAAGTCCCATTGTATACTTGGAATAATGATTACTAAAAATCACTGGAGAGGATATTAGACTAGCGAAATTCTATTCAACCCGTCTGAAGCGCAATCAAATCAAGATCAAGAATACTGCAACCCGATCCGACCCATGGGTAGTGGCAGACTCACATACTATCTGCACTCTGAAAAATAGATATTCTACCGAAATTTCAACGCATGTTTCGCTGGACACATGGGAAGATCCTTTGGAGTTTCCGAAAAACACAGTTTTGCAGCAAAGGTTTCGTATTACACCTATCAGACCAAAGCTTGAAATAATGGGTTTAAACACTCGATCGCGATTTCCGATTTTGATTAATTAACAAGTATTATGATTCATGCATAGTGCAAACACGATCAAAAACTCCAGTTCTAGTTTCAAGGCGAGCTCTTCTTGAAATTCAACAACAACAACGCGCTCGATACTGAAAACTGAAATTATTGGCAGCTTTAGCACTCTGAAATGAAAGTTTTGCGCAAAGAATACAGCTCTTCAGTGATTATAATGAGCGTTAATCACTCACAATCGCAAATTCTAATCGAGTGCTTAAACCCATTATTCCAAAATTTTATCTACACGGCCACTTTCTTGATCAACACTGATAATAGTTCCGAAAAAAGCAGTTAAGCACGAAGTATTCCCACAGTGTTCTGAAACAAACATCCACGTATCTCAAATTCTGTTTCACTAGCATTGAAACCAGCGCTCCCTAAGCTTACTGCACAATAATTCTCGCTTTGTTGTTTTTCCACATACCAACTAGTTGCACCTTCAAGAAACAAAATGCATGTTTCATTTTTGGTGTCTGTTTAATTTAAAACAGAAATAAATAAATTGATCATAAGCAAAATTTTTCAACTTACTTACTGTTTGAAATATCCCAATCAAACACTAAATATGATTGAGCTGATTTAATATTCAGACATTTACCACAACATAATTTATTCACGATTTGTCTGTTTCAGTGCCATGGGGGGGGGGGGCGGGGGGGGGGGGGGGGGGGGGGGGGGGGGGTG